CAGGAGAGGACTCTTTAAAGTAGAGACACTACATACTGATATACACCTGAACATCAGCAGGAGAGGACTCTTTAAAGTAGAGACACTACATACTGATATACACCTGAACATCAGCAGGAGAGGACTCTTTAAAGTAGAGACACTACATACTGATATACACCTGAACATCAGCAGGAGAGGACTCTTTAAAGTAGAGACACTACATACTGATATACACCTGAACATCAGCAGGAGAGGACTCTTTAAAGTAGAGACACTACATACTGATATACACCTGAACATCAGCAGGAGAGGACTCTTTAAAGTAGAGACACTACATACTGATATACACCTGAACATCAGCAGGAGAGGACTCTTTAAAGTAGAGACACTACAGACTGATATACACCAGAACATCAACAGGAGAGGACTCTTTAAATGAGAAAGGATTTCTTGGGGACTACTTTAATTGTGTGATGGTTTCAAAAGAAAGACTCTTACCCGCTCCTTCTCCTCCTGCTCTCTCTTCTTGGCTTCCACTTTGGCCTTTTTCTCAGCCTCCTTCCTGGCTTTCTCCTCATCTTTGAATTTCTTTATTCTCGGGTCAAGGCTGTAAGCAGAATCTGCAGAGAAGAACAACACGAGTTATTGGGGGGTTTTCTCCATAGTGGTATTTAGATTGTGTTTTCTACATCTTGCAGAGACTGTACCAACTAGGTTTCGCATTCTGTTCATCTCCTCCTTCTTCCTCACGGCCCTGGAACCTCGATTCTGCTTTTCGATCCACCGCCTCTCGTCTCGACTGCAGGGAATACAGATAGAAACACCCGTCAGATATTTAAATCTATAACTCGGGATGTGCGTCGGTACGTTTGGGTCGCTGCTCACCACTCAGCCTTATCCTTTTCCTCCTCATCGAGGTATGAGAATTCCCTCCATGAATCGAAGTTGTACCTTAAAAAAAGAAATGGACAAAACAAGTTTACACACACTGATCTTCTGTAGTTTTTAGTTTTGACACGGATAAATGTTTCTGTTCTCACACTAAATAAATACTGAACATGAATCTGTTCTGAAATGTAAAAATTTTTTTTCTTTTGTTTTTGTTTATTTGAATTTTTTTATCTCTGTGTTTAATAATATCTGTTCTACTTCCTTTGTTTTTAAAAAAGGTATATAGTTCATTTTCAATCTTTGTATTTAAATGTCTACTGATTAAATGCAAAAGCACTTTGTAACCGTTTAAAATCGACTACATAAATAAAGTTTCTTATTATTAATTAGGTATCGAAATAGATTTACTTGAACCCTTTTTTCCTCCTATTTTCAATGACAAAGAAAATTCAGAGGATTAAGCACTTTAACATGTTCTCAATTTTAGAAATGAATCTCCTTTAACCGGTACGCTTCTTTGGCTAAATGTCAAAATGTTTAAAAACAACCTCAGTAAAATGTTAAAGAGATGCCAGAAAACTATATTTCTGTTCGTCACAAACCGTATAATTACTCAAAAAATATGACAATGGTGTCAAAAAGAGCGTCAGACGGCCGAGACAGCGTTGTTTTTACATCGCGTTGTTGTTGTTTACGTCTGTGCCGCCATCTTGCATACGAGTGTCATGACGCGCTTTCACACCGGAGTACTTTTCCCGTTTAGTTCCGATAGTTCCTGGGATTTTGCGTTCACACCAAAAAGAGAACTTAGTTCAGATCACTTTTACCCCCCGTTTAGTCCCTGCTAGAGAGGTGGGACTATCCTGGGGAGGAAAAAGTTCCAATTTCTGATTGGCTGGGCGAATTGCAAACCACGCCCCGTAAAACTCGGAAAGGTTTTGTGAAGCCACCATTGTATTTGCTGGCATTAGCATTATTAGCATTAGCATTAGCACACCAATGGAGAGAGAATAACTTATGGCAACACAAAAGAAAACATGGGAGCAGTGGAGATGAGGAGGTGTCGGCGTTCTGGCGATTTACTCGGAAGGCTTCAGTAGAAGCTGCTGGGACTCCCAGCAG